ATTCCAGTTTTGTCATATAGTGTTCGACTTCATTTTTCTCCTCGAAGGAGTCGACATCAAAATAAACATCCATACACCATTCGATAGAGAATTTCAAGGGCTACATTTTGCACTAGTTACATTAAAGAAATGAGCCACTTTAATTTTTCGCCTAATGTCCGTCTGGATGCCCACTGTGGGGTGTGTACAAGGTAAAGAACTGGTCCACTTGTTTGTTTTGCTCAGAATGGTTCTATGAGAAGGGGACGAACATTTGATTTTAGGTGCTTTCGAGTGGTTATAGCCGTTCCATCCAGATTGGCTCTTCACTTGGAAGCTGGCATTACAGAGCACCATTAAAATCCTTCTCATGCACTTTTCTCTGTCACTATAGGAGCATATAAAGAAATCAGCGCATCATTAGAAAGTTTTTTCAATTCTCTACAAACAGATATATTCACAACACCTTGATTGATTTGCCAAAGGTCATTAAGTTTGACGTAACATATATGACTAGAGATAAATGCGACCTGTTTAGGCTAACTTTTTTCGAAAAAAGGAAAAAATCCATTTTTCTAACATAGCCTGTTTTAAAGCTCTTTTAATTTTCTATTGAGGTATATATTCATGATGTATTATGTTTGATCACAAGGATTTCACAGGAATGAAAAAGTTAAACTTACAGTGAGTCCACGTTTTGAAGTGCATATGTACCATTATAACCTTATGGAGACTTTTTAAATTAACTTTTCTGAGGAGCTACATAGCATATGGGACCATAGTCACACACTGTATATTTGAGGGGAAATCGTTTATTTTCGAACATCCCCCCATCTAGTGATCATCCTTCAGCGATCATTTTTCCACATTTTATTCCATAAATAAGAGAGGATTCAACTAGTCTTTAGTATAGAAACATAGGTCTTGAAAAGCTCTATAATATTTTGAGTAAACAAATTCTACATATCACTGGTTCAATCCATTATAATTCAAATACGCAAAAAATCAAGGAAATGTAGCCATACTTTGTGATTTTCACCATCAAATTTCATTTTTTTTCAAAACTAACACCATATTTGGAATTATCGTTAAAAACTGCACCAAACAATCTTTGTTTCGGAATTTTTAGACAATTTTTAGAATTTTGATGTTTCAGCAAAAATCTCGAAAAAAATCAAAGTTCTTTAAAAATTTGGAAATAGAGATTGTTTCATGCAGCTTTTAACGATAATTCTAAAGATGATGTTGGTTTTGAGAAAAAATTGAAATTTGATGGTGAAACTACAAAATGAGACTGCGTTTCCTTGATTTTTCTCGTATTTGAATTATAATGGATTGGGTCAGTGACATGTAGAATTTGTTTACTCAAAATATTATACAGCTTTTCAAGACCTATGTTTCTATACTAAAGACTAGTTGCATCCTGTCTTAATTATATGAGTAGAATGGTTAAAACATCAATGTGTTGACTTTTAGGTGTCATTAGGCTCGTATTTGACCTATAAAGGATTGAGCCAATGATATATAGAGTTTGTTTATTCAGAATATTGTACAGCTTGAAATTCTCTGTCAGATGAGGTACTGCTTGAATCTTTTTGTTGCGTTGCTATTTTACAAATAAGACTTTATGCTAGTAGAGTAGGCTAAATTAAGTTTAATTAGTACTAATTAGCCAATACCGGGAAGGAAAGAACAAAAATTCTTGCATATTTTGTCGTAATAAATATTCTCCACACATTTCTCTATCGATCTAGGCAAGAACCAAGCTTTTATGTTGGATTGAGAATGGACAGGAATTCTTTTAATAATAATCCCTTGTTCAAAAATTTAACAATATTTTTTTAAGTAATTAATTTTTTTCTCAGCCAGATAATGTCAGTAAATCGAAAAGACTTCAGGATATATACTTCGAAGTGTCCTCTACAAACCGGGAACGTTAGAGAAAAATTTAAATGGGGGAAAGCACCCATATGCTTTATGTAGCAAGGTTATGTAAAGTTAAGGTTTATGTAAAGTTAATTTAAAAGGTCTCCATAAGGTTATAATGGTACATATACACTTCAAAACGTGTAAAATAGTTTTCTCTACAAAATCAGATCAAAATTAAGACGAAAAAGCAGTGGGCCAAAATCAAGGAAAACCAGACTCTCTCCTTTTTTATATTTTTGGACGTCCTTTTCTAAATCTTAACTTACACTGTAGATCCTCTAACAGCTGTTGAACACTCTCACGAGAGCAAGTATGAGAGTTGTAACCGATCTGATCCGATTAAATTTTTCAATCGGTTACAACTGGGTAATTGTCGGTACCGGTATTTGCGTGGTACCGGTACCAAAAGTACCGAAGTTTTTTTCATTATCTAAATCAAATTTAAATTCACAATTTACTGCAAACATAAGCTCGTATGTTTGAGTACGTATTCGTACAAAGCAGATTTTCTGAAAAAACTAAATGAATTTCTTTCCATACGGATAAAGGTTTTCTGCCATTACACTGCTTGTTCCTACTTTTTAAGGTATTATGCGCAGATTTCTAGTATGGCCTTCTGAAATGATATGGCCATATAATCTACCATACATCGCATTTTTACGCACAATTCACGAAAAAGAACAATCGCTCGCCTCAAAATGGTTAAATATCAGTCGAATAAAATTTTTTATAATTGTATGTACATGTTCAACAATTTATTATTTTCTTCCTGGGTATATAATGCCCGTATTAACAGCTTTTTCATGGTTATGCTATATCAATCCGAAAAATGTTCTTCTATCTCAATTGACCGGCAATGGTGGATTTGGTTTCGGTTCATTGCAATTTGACTGGGCTAGTACGGGAATCGCCTATCTCGGTTCGCCCATATTATCACCACGTTGGGCGCAGATGAATATACTCGTTGGTTTCATTTTATTTATTTGGATATTTATACCAATATTCTATTATACAAATGTGTGGAATTTCAAAAATTTACCAATATCCAGTCCCCAGTTTTTTTACAATACCGTCACAGTAAATTTGACTAATGGCACAACAATTGACACACAATCAGTTAGCTTAACTGCAACATATGTGATTGGTTATAATCTTTTTTTTGCATCGTTAGCAGCTCTCATTGTTCATACAATATTATACCATGGTCAAGAGATTCTGAAACAATCTCACACATCATTAAATAAACGTCAGAATGATGTTCACTGTACAATGATGTCAAAATATAACGAAGTTCCTGACTGGGAATACGGACTTATCTTTCTGTGCGCATTTCTATGCGCATGTATCTGTTGTCATTATGGTCAGTTTATGCCCTGGTATTATTTGTTTTTAATTATACCATTAACATTTCTATCTCTGTTACCAGCCGGCATCGTAAGAGCTCAATCCAATATTTTTATCAGTATAAGTAACATGTCATTTATCCTTGGTGGCTTATTATTGCAGAATGATCCCATTGGAAATACTACATTCTACAATTGTATGTGGTCAATTCAAGATCAACCGCTTAGTCTATTACGGGGTCTAAAATTTGGTCATTATATGAAAATATCACCACGTGCGATGTTTAGTATACAATTGCTAACAACGATTCTTACTACTATAGTTAAATATTCAATATCAAATCATCTACTGAATTCAGTTCCAGGTATATGTGATACTAATTTGGATTGGCAGTGCTTATATCTTGGACAGTCAGGAATTCTATATAGCCAAGAAGGTAAGAGTTCATCTCTGATGTTTTCTACACGTTTGTATCATCGTACTAATTTCTTTACTATTCAGATCCATCTGATGTATTAGGGAGACGTTCAATTTATTCTCCAATGCTATGGCTTATTCTTGTTGGGGCTCTCCTACCAATTATATTTTGGTTATTGAAACAAAAATTTCCCCATGTTCAATGGTTACAACATGTACATATACCAATTATGTTGGCAACATTTGCCTTGATCGTTTTCTCATCAGCGACTGCCTATTTGACATCGTGGCTAATTATCGGATTCATTTTCCATACACTGATAAGAAAGTGGTGGTGGGATCGTTATGCATTACTGTTTTCAATCGCAATGGATATGGGAGTGCAAATTAGTCTGTTTTTTATATTCTTTGTTTTGAAATATCGCAATGTAAGTTTTCCTCAGTGGTGGGGGATCGGAGGACAATATCGCGATAATTGTCCTCTGTCACACGCAAACTATTACGGAAAATATCCCGAATAAACTTAAGAGAACAGAAATAGCTAAAACATTAATAATTCAGTCCACGCATTCATTTTGACCTATTTTAGTATAACAACAATAGATGTGATCACTAAAAAAGCTGCAAATATTGAAAGAACGATAAAATTCTAAAACAAATGTCGATAAACACCCATCACTTCTGTCAGATTCACCGAAAGCAAACACGGCTAACTTGAAGCTTTTCTTCTTAATGTTATCGTTTATGCACAAAAGGAAAAAGTGCAGTAAAAAGATAGAGCATAAGAAGGGATAACAACCAGTAGAATTTACTAGCAAAATTTCGACCACTAACTCATTTTTCCTCCATAGCACTCGTTTATTTATACCTTAATTGCAGTCTCATACACTCTAATTAAGGGCTTATTGAATTTTATTATTGAATTATTATTGAATTTTTCTTTAAAAAGTTTTACCCATGTCTTTTTGAAACTTTTTTGTGATCTTGTAACAATCAACAGCGCTACTAAAAGGCAGTACGCCCAGACGTATTAAAAAATATCCAGAGACCGCATAACATTTTCTTAATAAAAATAGCACTGCTACACTTTTGTGGCCAATTCTCTAGAGAGTCTGTCCATGTAACGGTCTACCAACACGCAGGAGGTTCACACAAAATTTTTCTCTGAGATAAATCTTAAACACGCATTGCCCACTGTGCGATCGTGAAAAATTCTGCTATGCCACGTAGATATGAGGCTTTTTCTGGTTATAAACATTTTAATAATACCACCGGATAATACCTTATTTATGTTAAACCCTCGGGTATATGTCTCAAAAAATGTCACTTATTATCTTTGTCTGCCACTACGAAAAAGTAACAAAACTCACTTCTTTTCAGTTAGAGACATGAAACTCTATTTGTTCTGTTGTTCATTA